TCAGTTCATCATTTTTCAGGTTTTTTGTCACAAGAAGAGTGAAATGTAAATTTTCACAGGATCTTCCTCTTTATTTCTAATATGTGGAAGGAACGTGACTCACGTGTTTTATTGTTTACATCACTGAAAATGTAATGAAAGTTTAAATTGGTGTTTTTGTGGCTTTTTTGCCAACGACTGTTGCTGCTTCCACCTCCACATTTTTTGTGTTGAAGTTTAAATACTTTGCGTATTTGTAAAATGCACTTATAACGTTGTAATTGTTCAATAGATCCAGAGGTATGTTTATGCTGCATCTGTAATGAAAGAAGTGCTTGTTTAGCAGGAGAGCTGAGGTGGCTCTTTTAAGGTGGAAGGTGGGACAACAGCTTCCTTTTTTTGCATTTAATTATATATTTTTGGCTCTGTCAGTAATCTTTAAGCAGCTTTATTGCATCTAAAATTCAAATTTATTTGCTTTCTGTCTTGCATAAACCACAGTTGTAAAGAAACCTCTCAGTTTTTTATGTTAAAAGTGGAGACTTTTAGTTTATATTATCGGGTGTTTCACCCATTAGCATATGATTGTTTCACTTTTTGAGCGTTTCGGGACAAATCATAAATGGATTTACAAAAATAAAAAATAAAACGCTAGCCCTCATCTGCATCAGTGAGCTCTGTTGTTGTTGTTTGGCTGAACAGACAGATTTGTTTTCCCACTTGGACTAAATATTGACACAGTAGCTGCTGTGGCCCGAGCGTGACGGACACACTGACCAGCAGATGTCCGCAGTGAAGCACACAGCCGAACCAGGACGACCCATCTGGTCCTGTCAGGGCTCGTCCTCCTCTTTTTGTTTGCTCTGATTCATATTTGTGGCCTTCTCATGATAAATCACAGCAACGGAGCTCTTATTGTGTGAATGTTGATTCAGCACTCTGCTGTTTTCCTGCTTTTTATTTTGTAATATTTTCATAAACCTAAATGTTCGGCTCATTCGGGAAATGGTTGCTTTTGTAAATTTTATATTTTTCTAAATATTTATTTTTATTTACAAATATTTTCCCCGCAGACATACACTGATATGTTTTTAATTCCTGGAATGTGCTTCAGCAAAAATTACTCTTGTTTTTATCCTTTTACTTTGTAGCTATTGTGCAGCTTTTAGCTTTTAGACAGCCTTTTAAACTTTTAGCAAGCCTTTTGCTACTTTTAGATTTTAGCTGTTTGTTTGTTACTTTTGGCTTTTAGTTTGCCATTTATTACTTTTAGCTTTTAACTACCATTCTGCTGCTTTTAGACGTTCATATGATATTACTATACTATATTTTTTATACTTTTATCCTTTCAAGTATTATTTGGCCCTTTGCCACAGCATTTAGTTGGTGTTTTGCTATTTTTATTTTATTTTTTTAGCTAGCCATCTGCTACATTTAGCATTTAGACAGCTTTTTATACTTTTAGCTTTTAATTACAATTATTCTACTTCAAACTTTTAGATGGAATTTTGCTACTTTGAGCTAACCTTTTGTTACGTTTAGCTTCTATGGGCGGCTGTGGCTGAGTGGTTAGAGCAGTTATCATCCGGTGCAAGAGTTGGGGGTTCGATTCCACCGGCAGTCACACGCCGAAGTGTCCCTGTGCAAGACACCGAACCCCTCATTGCCTCCGACGTGTGTCCCATTAGTGCATGACTGTGATAAAGCTCTGATTATTCTTTGTATGGATACAGTAGAGTGCTGTATGAACGGGTACATGAGGGCACAGATTGTACTTCAAGTGTCTTGATAAGATAGAAAGGTGCTCTATAAGTACGACCCATGTACCATTCTAACTATCCTTTAGATTCTGATGGTGTGTCTTTCGTTATGTGAACTTGTAACTAGCCCTTTGCTGCGTTCAGCTAGCATTTTGCTCACTTTTGCGTTTATCCTCCTGTTCTGCTTTTTAAGTTTTAACAACTCAACTTCGGCTTCTTCAGCTAATTTGGAGTCTTTCAGCGCTCAGCGTTCTCACTCGTTGGTTAATGGAACATGTGACTCTCCTGCGTTCTGGAGTTGAACTTGGAATAGAAACCAGGACGTGGACTCTCCTGTTGGCCGTGGGCTCTGGGCGGATGCTATGTGTTTGAGCAGAGGAAGATCTTGTCCTTTTTGGAGTACAGACTGAGAGGGGAGAAGCAGCTCGAGCCCACGCAGCCCTCCCACTCACTGCAGAGGAGGGCCCGCCGCAGCAGAATGAACGCTGACGTAACTCACTTACACTGGAAACTACCGTCATGTAGTGTGGGCTGCTTGTAGCTCCACTCCGTGTTTTTACTTCACAGATATTCACACCGTGGACCTTCCTCTGTAAACTGAGAACTCCTCACTGACACTCTGTCTCTGCTGCTCCACCGTGCAGACAGGAAGTGCTCTTATCACATTAGAGCCATCCAGTTTCCAGTTATAAGGCGGTGTTCTGTGAGGGCAGATTTTCTGATCGGTGACTCGAGCTGGATGTTGTCCTCTGTGGGTGATGACTCACTGCTCATAGAGGCTTTGTGAAGCTGGCGAAATGTCCAAGCAGAGTCCGAAATTACCACCTGTCAAGCACCAAATGTTGAAAAACTTTTTGTTTGCCAGCAAAAACTGTAAGAACAACAAAATGACAACTAGCTCTATTCTATATTTTATCACTTTTAAAAACCAAGCACATCCCAAAACAAGCTAAATGTAGCAAAACAAATGCTTACAGGTCAGATGTAGCAAATCAGTTGTTAACTAACTGTAGCAAAACTAGCTAAAAGCTAAGTGTAGCGTAACACTTGCTAAAAGATAAACATACCAAAACATTTGCGAAAAGTTAAATGTACCATATAAGTTGCTAAATGTAGTTAAACATTTGCTAACTAAACAGCAAAAATAGCTAAAAGCTAAATCTAGCACAACACTTGCTTAAAGTAAAATGTTTGTAAACAAATGCTAAAAGCTAAAAGAAGTGAAACATTTGCTTACAGTGCAGATTTAGTAAATGAGTCGCTAAATATCGTGAATCAGTTGCTAAATGTAGCAAAACAACTGCTGAAAGCTAAAAGTTGCT